TTAGTATATAAGATGCACCCAAATTTTCACCCTGTTTTAGGGGGGAGAAGTATGTCATATACTCTGAAAAATACGGTAATTTTTCAATTAGTGCTGTCTATGCAGTGATGAGTTTTTATGTAGCTATTTTAAAGGCTACTTTAGCTGAAAGCTATTTATTAAAATGTTAGGAATTTTGTAGCACCTTAACATAATACATGCATGACTCCCATCTGGCCTAATATTTGCGTCTCACCAATAGTAGCTTTGAACTTTTTGCTTGGAAGCTCCTTGCTATAGTTCCACGTACAATATGGAATTTCATTTACCTACTTGAACTACCTGGAGCAAATAGTCATGAAGCATGTTTCAAGCCTGTGAAAGGGTATTGCAATACATAATTATAAACTGACTTTATTCTTGGATTTTTTTCCCCATTCTTCAACCATTGAGAATACACTACATTACCAAAATTACATAAATTTCACTGGTGGGCCAAAACAGTAGGGTTTTTGATAGTATCACTTATGATTATAGCGCTACTTCTGAATGTACTTGAATCTAAAACTCTTATTCATGAAACTAATAGAGAAGATTAGTGTTTCTTAAACTTTTCAAAGGCAATGGAGTACGGTACTAATGAGCACTCTTCATAGTTTTTTAAAAGAAATAAAATTATTTTGTAAAAGAAGTTTTAATCATTTATGTTCCCTTAGATTTAATGCATCTATTATAAATCTTAATAGCATGAGTGAACTTGCACATGACAGAATATTTCATTAGTTTCTAGAGATTAAGATTTATTTTTTAAAAGCCTTGGCAGTGGCATAACATTTAGCCTGTTTCAGTATTTAGTGTTGTCTGTATTATTGCTGAAAAGCTGCTTTTCACAAAGTTATGGTGAAGGTAACAATGAACTTTTAAAGTATTCATATAGTGGTTAAAATTACCAGGCTAGAAACCAGGAGGCAAGCATCTTAATAGAATGCCTTTTAGGCCAATCCCTCTCTTTTAGCTATAGGAAGGCAATGGCAGGGATTCATCCAGGCCAGGNTTTTTTTTTTTGTTATGGCCTAGCCTTCTCACTGAAAAGAAGATGAATCCTTCCTTCTTCAGGCAAATCCCTCTGTAAGCAAAAGGCGACTTCATAGCTAGTCCATTTGCTTTTCTTCTCTGACATGAAGTTTTCCATTACCATCAATATCATCTGATATATGCAGAAGGGCATCTCTCTGTCCACAAATGAAAGAGCAGGTGATTGCCAGAAATATATTTATGGTTATACAACTCCTTGGCAGCTTGTTAATCTTGTTTTATGATGCTTGAGTAGTGCTGTGCATTGCTGTGTAGATTGTACCAACACCTTGTCCATAGAACAGGAAATAAAAGAGGTCCCGTAATTAATGTCAGTCTAAACTTTGGTAATTAATCTTGAAACTCTGCAGTGGGAACTCCTATCACAGCTCAGTCTTTCCCAACCTGAAACCCTCTTAAGTTTATTAAGCTGCAATATTAAATTGCAATATATTGGAATTTAATAATAAATGTTAACATTTTTTATTTTACTGTAGAGAACTGGGCTGCCTTTTACTTTTAGGTGCTTTGACCTTTTTCCTTTTCCTTACAACCTCTATCTTTCTTTGACCGCAGGGCTGGACACTGGACTTTTAAGTTTTTTTGGTAAGGCTAACCTGTGATTTTTTTAAGTGTTTGCTGTTCAAATTTGGGTCAGTATGTGTCAAAATTACAAGTTCACCTTTTCTGACAAGTGCTGTTTCATTGCTCTTTAACTCCTTGTCCATAGAACAGGCCTGCCATCCTTTCCCATAAATTCTCTTTTAAGATTTCATTTTGCAGAAACACTGACTCTCATTGCTGCAGCTTGCAAACAGGGCTGGAAGCAATGGAGAGCCATTCAGAATATCTGTCTCCTCTGGCTTATATAGAATTTCACAATATAATTGTAAAACGGTGTGTGTATTTTATACTCAGGTGAAACAGTCGACTTGGAGAGTCTTATTTTTAAATGTTAATCTTGTCAATAACAAGAAACAGTTGTTTGAACCAAGACCTAAAGAAGCAGCCACTTTAAATATGCAAGATAATTAATTAATTTTTTTGCAATCAAATCTCTGTGTCTCTTCTGGAATCAGATAGTGGACAAATGCAATGAAGTGAATTTAGAGGCTAGGCTGGTCCTGAGGAGATGCAGATTCCACTCTATCCTGATTTGTGGCCACGCTTTCTAAGCTTTGTTTCCTTTCTTGAGGAGGAAAGGGCACTCGTGTATCCTGTTCCCCCGAAAATAACACTTCTCCGGATAATAAGCCCAATCAGGCTTTTGAGTGCATGCGTTAAAATAAGCCCTCCCCGAAAATATTGCAACACAACAGTAGCCATGAGGTGACCATGCTCGCCGCCCCCTGCACCTCATAAATAATAAGACCTCCCGAAAAATAAGGCCAAGCGCTTATTTTGGGGGGGTCAAAAGAAAATAAGACCCTGTCTTATTTTCAGGGAAACACGGTACTTTCCGGAACTGCTGAAGGAAAAGCAAAATTCAAATAAAAAAAAGTACAGGTAGTCCTTGACTTACAACAGTTCATTTAGTGACCGAAGTTAAAACAGCACTGAAAAANGGATCATGTGATCACCTTTTGTAACCTCCTGACAAGCAAAGTCAATGGGGAATCCAGATTCACTTAACCGTGTTACTAACTTTAACAACTGTACTGATTCACTTAACAAGTGAGGCAAGAAAGGTTGCAAAATGGGGCGAGTCCCAGTTAGCAACAGAAATTTGGAGCTCAATTTTGGTTGTAAGTCGAGGGCTACCTGTAAATGTTCTTCATAGGGTTTTTGTTTCGCATTACATATAACCAAGAAGCTTTATTTTCAGTCTTTCAATCTTTTTTTCTTTCTTTCTTTTAAAACTCAAAACCGTATTACAAATTCATGTGTTTTAGTCTTTCCCCCCTCTTTTGTTCTATTGTATCTGGTTCTTGCAGACTGCCTGGACAAATCCCTGCAGTTTTCTTGGAAAAGTTTCTCAGAACTGACTTATCATTGCCTCCTTCATAGGGTTGAGAGAAAGTGACTGGGCCAAAGTCACCCAGCTGGGTTTGTGCCTAAGACTAGACTAGACTATAACTCACGCTCTCCCAGTTTCTACCTTGAGATCCCTTGGTACTTCCATGCCTGAGTAGGGGACAAGACAGAAGTGATGAGTAGAGGGTGTTTCCTAATAAGCAAAGGCCTTGCACAAATACATTTCAGTGAATAGGATTAATTTATCCAGAATAAGTAAACTGTAGAACAAAGCATAGCATTTTGAGTTTTTGGCATCTGTACTTTTTAATCACATTAAGGGCTTTTGGCTTCCCTTTCTGGTTTTAATAGAAAAAATGTTGCTTAAGTTTTTAATTACGACTCCATCATTGCAGCATACATCCTTGTTAACTGGAAAACATTCACCTCCCTTCCCCTTCCTCCATTATGATTCATCCTTTGTTTAAAGTACTGGCTTGGCCACACAATTCTTTTCTAATCCGTTTCTCCAACCTGGTGCCCTCCAGATGTTTTGGAATTGCGATTTCTTAACCAAGAATTAAATAGCTATATAATTTACCCCATCACTTTTTTAAAAAAAGAGCAATGTTTCTTTCATCTCCTTGCAAATTATTTTTTTTTCAACAAATTAATTCTATGATGGTATCTCAATGAGGGTTAAATACTAGTAGTTGCTTAATTACTGCTTTCTCCCAAGACTAGGTATTGCCCTTATAGCAGCATTATCAAAGTTTTCTTGTTGTTATTATTTATTTTATTTTCCTCCCAAAGGCCAAAAACATTTGATAGGGTTTTTCTTCCTTTTTTTCTGCCTGAACATCAGGATCATAAAACCTTAGCATGGTTAGATGGATGATTAAAATTCAAATGATTTTATTAAATAATATAATATGCCATTCTTTTTTCCCTAAAAAAAGCCTCTTCCTCCTATACTGCTAGTATAGCTTCATAAAATCCATTGGTAGACAAAGAAGCAGATTCTCGCAATCACAGAAGCCTCAAAGGAATGTAGATTCCCCCCTCCCTTCTTATTTATTTAACAATATTTATAAGCCATCACAATCCATATGATGTTTACTGTCGCATGGAGCAGTATAAAATAGAATTAAACAATGAAACAATTAAAATAATGGGAACACTCAACTATTAGGGTTGCCCAAGCAGAACTCCAGACCAAAAACTGTCAGGTTTAACTTTCTTCTTAAGAAAAAGGAAAACTCGGCTATAAATGGCATAAAAGTTACAAACATTCTTCCAGACACACTCAAGACATTTTGCTACACAAGGCCGCAAAAACTATATTTTATGCTTACATAAACATCAATATCATGTTTAACACTTGCAATTACTACTATTTTATTGATGTATTTTTTAAAATCAAAATAGAGTAGAAGTTATTTAAAGTTAGAACTGAACAAGTGAACCTAGGAAGAATCTTGTGCTTGACTGCAAGGTTTTTACTGTAACATTGAAGAATTCATGGCTTAAGGAATCCAAATTCAGAGTGGTCAATAAAAAAATAAAAAAGATACTGAATTTTTCAGAGTATAAGACACTCTGAAGTATAAGATGCACCTAGCTTTTGGGGAGAAAAAAAAATCTGCCTCTGACTCCCAGAAATTTGCCTAATTGCAGCAAACAGCCCGTTTCAATTTCAATACAACCTGATTAGCACAAGCAGCTGATCATCAGGTCTTCCGACAATCAGCTGCTTTAGCCTGCAGGGATTGCCATAGCCTATTGCTGCCTCCACGCNTGTTGTAAGTAGGGTAAACTTTCTGGGAACTGAGGTCCCTCGGAATTGAGAGTCCCAACACCTTCAAATACCATAGGTTGGATAAAGTGTGGCTTAAGTGGGTTGTTCTAATCAGGCTTGAATATTTTTGCATATTGTGCATACATTTATGTGAAGTTTAGAAAACCTTCAAAGTTGTATTTATTCTGTCTCTTAGGTCCCTTCACAGATGTTGTCACCACAAATCTGAAACTTGGCAACTCGACAGATAAAAATGTCTGTTTCAAAGTGAAGACCACGGCCCCACGCAGGTATTGTGTACGACCCAACAGTGGAATTATAGATGCTGGAACGTCAATTAATGTCTCGGGTAAGTTTATCCAATTGCTTTTTTGTTTCAGAAATGCATTTGCTTTCCCCCACTCATAACCATTTTGGTTCTGAGTACATCTGGAAGAGAATAAACAGATGTTAAATGGCCTGTGTAAAGCTGACGTTTTGAACAGCCCAATGTATTCTGCAAAGTTTCTTAAAAAAATACAGAACTGTTTCAATGTCAACACAGAGTTATTTCTCCTGTTTTCAGATGGAATTATAATTGGAGATGACTGAGCAAACGGCATAACACAACCTCTGGTTTTGGTGCTTTCTTAGCCAGTTTCACTTGGAAAGAGTAGTCTGTTGAAAAATTGTCATTCTAATCTCATGTAAAACAACTTTCTGCAACTTTGTACTTTTAAATTATGTTACGAATAGTTTCCAGAATCTCTGGTTTTGGATTCCACTATCTTAGAATTCTGGGGATTTTCCCCCCAACAAGTTGGAAGGCACCAGGCTGGGGAAGGGGTAGAATCTGCTGAAAGGGATTAGGAAGCTTTCCAAATGTTGCAGAACTGGGGTCATATGATGACAGACATTTAGTAACTACTCAGCCTTTTAAAGTAAAATTTCAACCTCATAGTTCTGAGAAGTAATAATCTGTTACTTTCACCATATTTTTCAAGTAACACAAGAAAAGGCATATGGTATATTTCCAGTGTATCCGTTGTGTATAGAATATGGACGGTGGTATAATTACACTAAATTAGTATAGGTTTTTTTAATGATTTGGTCAGATATTTGCATTGATTCATTGGTCATTAGGTGATTCATTTTCCAACAGTTTTCAATTACCTTTGCTGAGATTTGTTGAGGAATAGAACATTTATAGAAGGGAAATGGATATACTTAATAATTAGTCATTCAGTTGTATAAAACATGAAATGGAACAGTTTGTAGAGCCTTCAAACTCTTAACTGATTATAAAGGTCAGAGATTGTTATCCAGATTTTTGAAGTGCTAAACTTCTGGGTAAGTTGCAAATGCTGATCATGTGATCATGCCATTTGTCAAGTGCCTGAATTGTAATCACATGACCATGGGGAGACTGCAACAGTCATAAGTGCAAGGGTTGCTCATAAGTCACTTTTCTGCACTGCTGTAACTTCAAACAGTCATTATAAGTCTCTCTTGCCTAGGAAGCGCATGTGTTGTCAAATCAATTTGGCCAGGGTACTAGTTTTATAAGGAAATGTTTTTTTTTTT